GACTAGACGCGATAAATCGAACCCAGAAGTTCGATTGCCTGCCGCCGAACCAGCGCGGTAAGTATAGACCAGCCCTTAGAGTCCAACCAACACAGTTTCCTTAAAGTGCCCAGCCTCAGGCCTCCGTCCAGACACACCTGTCAGAAACGATGATGATTACTGAAAATCTTGTCTCATCATATAAAAGAAAAGGTTCTTCCAACCCCAAAGGATCAGCCACATACCCAGGTCCAATGATAACTTAGATCTGACCCAAAATACACACTATAGTCAATTCTGATTAACTAAGCTAAAATTTATTTAAAAAGAAGAGAGAGAGAGTGTTGGGTTAAAAGATCAATATACATACAGACTTGAATTCAATTCTTGAGGTTCAGATGCATAGCAGAGGTGATTCTGTAGTTGCCAAAAGTCCTTTTAGAAATAGTCCATAGGTTATAGTCCAATGTCCATATTCAGGGTGGCTCCAGTCAGTGACTGGGGATCTCAATCCTTATGGCTTAAGGTTTCCCCCTCTTGAAACCCAAAGCAGATCTGAGATGAAGAAGGATGGTGTCTCAAGGTTTTTATACATTTTCTGCAGGCTTTTGGCCTGAGAAAACAATAGGCTCAACTCTCCTTCTTCCAAACATCCTGGCAATTAGCACAGGGTAATTTATCCATTACACAGTTCAGATACAGGTTACCACAACCTTCAAAGAGACATAGAGACAATAATACGATTTCACTCAAGTATCATCATAAATGTTAATATTCCTTTTTGATCTTTGAATCAACGCCATAGCAATAGCCAAGACTTGTTTGCTGACATCACAAGCCCTGAGCACACAGCTCCCCTTCTCTCTCTAACAATGCCGGCTGCATGTCAAAGCTCTGTTCATTTACACATCTTCCTAACCAGTCTCTAAAGTTCAGCCATGGGTCAGGTCAGTCTGGGAGGTAATTAACTCTTTCTGGCCCTGTCACCTTTCAATGAGATATTCTATTATACTCCTAACGTCACACACCTGTGCCCCATGTACCCACAGCACAGCCCCCCAGTGACCCCCCCCGCCCCATGTACCCACAGCACAGCCCTCCAGTGACCCCCCATGTACCCCCAGCACAGCCCCCCAGTGACCCCCCCCTGCCCCATGTATCCACAGCACAGGCCCCCAGTGACCCTCATGTACCCCCAGCACAGCCCCCAGTGACCCCCCCTGCCCCATGTACCCCCCAGCACACCTCCAGTGACCCCCATGTACCCCCAGCACAGCCCCCAGTGACCCCCCTGCCCCATGTACCCCCAGCACACCCCCAGTGACCCCCATGGACCCCCAGCACAGCCCCCGGTGACGC